AAAAACATTTTAAATGATGACCCATTAAACCGTTATATTTTTCTTCAAAAATACAGTAACAAATACAGAGTAAATAGAATCAGTCAACAAAAAAATGGAATTTTTTCGAAATTTTCAATTTTTAAACACTAAAATTAAATTTATTATTATATTTAAAAGAATATGACTTTAGAATTTCAATAATTAGAAATATTAAATTTAAATATTTAATATTGAATATAATAAGAATAATTTTTATTTAAATATAAAACTTGGGTATTTAAAATTTTACGTTCTAATTCTGACCAAGTTTAATAGTCGTAACAAAATTACAAAAGAGGTCAACTATTGTTTAGAATACACTTAAATCGTATATTTCTCCTATTTTATGTTTAGTTGATGGTCTAAAAATCAACATTCTTACCACGCTTCAGCAATAAATGTCTTTCAACTCTCAACGATTTGGGTTGATGTCTTTTTTGGCACACTACCCGGTTATTTTTCAAAAAACCAATAACATTGTTTTAAATTTAAATTATTTTTATACACGCATTTTTCAATAAATTTGAAATTCAATTTCAATATTTATTACTTTATCATTTATTTCACCTTAATTTTTATAAATTCAACAATATTCGATAAAATTTTTTTTTTGAAAGAGTTAATTTTTTTAAATAAAAATTGTCTTCAAATTTTAAAAGAATGTTTCTTTGAGTATTTGTGAAGTCCGTGAAAGTAAGTTTTTTTTTAGGAAAATGTCTATAAAGTCCGCAATTTGATTCAAAAAGGATGAAAAGTTCGTAAATTGTACGATATAATTTGAATAATTATTTTAGAGAAATTATAAATGATTCCAGAAGTTCAATTATTTTCAAAATTAATAAAATTCTTTGCAGAAATTCAATTATGTTCAAAAATTTTTTTAAATTCTCGTCAAAATTTTAATTTTCATAAATAATAAAATTCTTCTCTGAAATTAAATTATTTTTAAAAAATTTCAATTCAATAATTTCCAATATTTACTATTTTCATAAAATTTTCCAAAAGAATTGAATAAAAAAAAAGAACAATCATTCAATTATTTTCATAAATATTAAAATTTTTATTTTTATGGAATTTTAATTTTTGTCTGACCGTATTAATTAATTAGTTGAGTAATAAGAACCGTATCTAGGCCTTCTTATTACTCAACAAATTAAAATTTTTACGAGGATTCAATTATTTTCGTAAATAATAAAATTCTTTTTAGAAATTCAATTATTTTCATAGATAATAAAACTCATTGCAGAATTCCAATTATTTTTTATACAATATTTTAATCTAATTCCTCGAATAAATTCTTAAAAATTTTATTAAAATTCGTCAAAAGAATTCAATTATATAAAAATTTATAGATAAAATTCTTTATGAGAATTCAATAATAAAAAACATAATTTTAGAATATAATTGAATATTTTAAAAGCATTAGAGCGTAAATTTTTAGAAATAATCGAATTTTGAAAAGGTTTCAAATTAAAACCTTTGAAAATTTGAAATTTTTATATTTTTAACTAACAATTCTGTGGAATTAATTTTTTTGAGAAACTTTAATTGCGGATTTTTTTGAAATTATTTACAGTTTTTTTTTAATATAATATTTAATTGAAGAATTAATGAATAATTGAAATTTCCTAAAATTGAATTGTAAACAAATGAAATTGAAAATTTTTAAAGAATTTTTTCAAAAATTATTAAAAAATCATGTGTTTTAATTTTAAAAAATTCACAAAAATTAAATATTGTTCAAAAGTAATAAAATTCTTCTTAGGGATTCAATTATTTTTACAAATAATAAAACTCATTGCAGAATTTCAATTATTTTTAATACAATTTTAATCGAATTTCTCGAAAAATTTAATTATTCTAAATAATTTTATTATAATTCGTTGATAGAATTGAATTATTTGAAAATTTGTTGATAACAATTTTTTATGGGAATTGAATTTGAAGAAACATTCAATTATTCAATAATTTATTTATTTTCATTTTATTTTTATTTAAATAATTGAATTCTAGTAGAATTTTTTAATGAAAATTGATGTAAAAATTAATTTCAGTTAAAATTTTAGATAATTGAATATTAAAAGCAATATAGTGTGAATTTTTAAAAATAATTGAATTTTGAAATTAATTTTTTTTTTAAAAGGTTTAATTGAATTTTTTTTATATTATTTAAAATTTTTAGTTTCTAATATTTATTTAATTGAAGAATAATTGAAATTTCATCAAATTGAATATTGTAAACAAATGGATTTGAAAATTGTCAATGAACTTTTTCGACAATTATTAAAAATAATCGATATTTTAAAGAAGGATTTTAGTTATATTTAATCGATAAAACTTAATGTAAAGCCATTTTCTACTTTAAAAATTGATAAATATCTTTTTGTACCAAAAAAAAAGATTGATTGCCAAAAAGAACATAAGATCAATTTTATTAAGTTTTAGTGAAATTTTTACCAGTGCTACCAATTGAGACATTTATCTAAATGGATCCTACTAAAGGAACATTTCTCGCAAAATTAAAAGAAAATTGATTATTTTCAATATTATCTTTTTTTTTACCAAATTGATGATAGTAGCAAATTTTATTAAAAATAAGATTTCAAAGTTTACATAATATTTGAAATTGAAATTCAGATATATGTATAGAATTTTATACTCTAGAAATCCGATATCTTTGAAGTTAAATCAAAACATTACATAGTGTATTTTTTCTAACATAAATAAAATGGAGAAAATTCAAAGTGTTTTCTGTTAGAGTACAAGGAGAAAATTTTATTTTTGGAATCTAGAACTGCTTACATATCAATGTTTTTCAAAACTCCTCTTAAGAACGTAAAAGTCGTTTTCATATCTAGGCATTACCTTTTTTCCACTTATAAATAAAGTTAAAATTAAAAAAAAAGTATATTTTTTTCCTTTAAAGAACCTCAATCATTTATAAGGAAACGTCAGCATTTAATTAATTTTTATCAAAGAAATATTCTATATGTGTATATATTCTTAAATATTTATATGATAAACTAAGCCTCTTAAGAATTGATATCGTGAAGCTGAAGCGCGTGCTTCGCATACATATATCTATGTCATTCAAGCACATTGCATGTTGTATCTAAATTAAATTATTAATTATTAAAACTCAAAATAATTAAAATTTCAAATTAACCCAGTTCTACACCCTTATTATCTCAACAATAAGAAATTATTCTTAAACTTTAGTAGAATTTTCAGAATTTTAACATAATTTAAATATGTCATTTTTTCTAAAAATATCTTTTTCAAAAGTTAAAATTTTTATAAAATATATAATTTTTAATTAAATATAATAATAATTTTTAATATTAGTAAAACTGTTTTCAATCATAAATTACTTCTCGAGGGAAAAATATGAAAATATTATGTCTTATTTTTATTCGAGCCTTAAAAAAGAAAGAAGAAAAATTATAAATTAAAAATTCTCAACTTTCAGTCAAAAGTGAAAATTTATTTAAATTAAAATGGTAAAAAATTCTTCAAAGTGTTATCAAAAGAATACGAAGAAAAAATAATCTGAAAATTATAAATAAACTCCTTAAATGGATTTTTTTCTTGGTTGAAAAATTTAATTAAAACGTACTTAGTCATCGTTTTTTTTTTTTTTTTTGCAAATGGATTCACTCTAAACAATTTGTCTGATATCTTTGTGAAAATTACTATATACATCTATATAAACACATTCTTATCAATTTAACTTTATTTTTGTCTAAATTATTCAAAGTTCGTGCACTGAATTTCACGGAATGTTTGTAGAAGTAGACTGTATGTCTCCAACTATACAAATTACGTGTGCGATCGAGTACAAACATTAAATGATCTTATCGAAAAAAATTTTTTTTTTTTTAAAAACGTTATTTGTATTCAAAAAATAATTTTTAATCTGCATAAATTTTAAACATAATGTTTTCATAAAATTGAAAAAAGTAAATAATATTCTAAAATATCAACTATTTGATAAAAAAGAAAGTCAGAAATTTTCGTTTGTTTTTCTTCTTTTTACACGCACCATTTGATAATATTAAATTATTTGTTATAGTGTGCAAAAAATTTAAAAACAAAAGAATAGACATAATTATGAAAAGACATTAATTATAATCACTTTAATTCTTATTAATTCTTATCAATTTAGTTTTAGTTTAGCTAAAGATCAAGCTTTCAAGGTTCATCTTGATCTTAATATACGAGATATTAGTTTAACCTCGAAGTTTCATCTGTCCTTATGTATGAAAATTTTTTTTTAAAAGCTAATCTTACCGACCACACACAAGGTCTGAAATGATAAACTTTAGTGTGCGAGTTTTTTCTTCTTCTACTTTTTCTTAAAAACGAAAAGAGGTAATAAATTTTAAACTATATATACGCTTTACTGTACGGAATAAAAAGTCACTTTTTCCCTACACGTTCATTATAATTAGGTACGCAACATTTAAAATTATGTTACGTGTTCTACAATAAATGTGAAATATTACCATTAAAATATTTCATTGACAAAAAATATTCTACCAGAACAAATGTTCTCAAAAAAAAAAAATTTATTTACCCACAGCAATTTTTATGAATAATTGCCTACTTGTAGATTTCAAAATTTTCCATTTTTGACCCTCTTATTTTTCAAATTAATAAAACTTTTAGACTATTGAAAATTTTAGATTATTTAGTTTTTCGAAAAAATTTCAATTAAAAAGAAAATTATTTGCAATTTTTTTAATTTAAAACATTACTTCTTTTTATATCTCGCCTTTCAAGTTCAACGACACATGCAAATCATTTTTATTTAAAATTTTAATAAGGAAAAACAGACCATATTTTAGTCCATAATAATGAAATTGACGATAGGATTTCAAAACTCAACTATGTCTAAAATTTACGTCAGACAAAATAAAAATTACAAGAAAGTGCAATAAAATAATTTATTTGAATAAAAGAAATCGTTTTTCACTCACCTTTTCATCTAAATTGTCCAAATCTGGCAACTGGAACAGAAAAATAAAATACTTAAAATATTTTCATAGTAAAATTATAATTTTGGACATCAATTATTTTCCCGCAATTATAATATTAAAATTGAAGAAAGAATTCGATAACTTTTAATTGAAAATAAAAAAATTTAAATACATGCAAATTGCAGCCATCTTGTGGGATACTTGCGAATTTATCAAAAAACAGATATATTTAACAACTAAAATCCAGTATGATAAGAGACAAACACATTCTAAATAGGAACGCTTCTTTACCGACAACATTTGAATTTCATCGTTTGATTTCTAGGTGTCGACACTTTCAAAGAAATTATAAATGTTAATAAAAAAAATAAATACATAAATAAATAAAAGACGATCGAATAAATTATAAAGTCTATTTCATTCAACTCACGCTTCAGGTTATTTTTTTTACACATCCTTTAATTCTTTAACAAGTGCTTTAAAATGAACTGCAGGACATAAAAATTGCATATTCAATTTATATTCAATATTTTTTTTTTTTTTAAATTAAATTGTAAATTAACAAAATTATTCTAAAGGGAAATTTTTATTTCAACTGATGTGTAAGATAATTAAATCTCCAATTTTTTATAATTTGATTTTTCATTCAACAGAATTTTCCCTTATAAATCAAATCATTTTCTCTAATAGATTATTACCAACCCTTTTTTAGTTGCATAAATCAGAATTTCCTTCGCTTCCCGCATATTTATTCGCTAATGCAGGAAATTGAATTTTTCCAAATCAAAAAAATGACGAAAAAGAGTTCACAAACTTAAAGTGATTTTTTTAAATTTATTTATGATTTATTATTTAGTTCTATTTCAATCACTTAAGGGCATGTCAAAGTCATTTTGCTTTTTGCATATATATAGTACGTCAATGGAAAAAGTAGAACGACTTTGACATGCCCTTAATGAAAAAGTACTTATAGAATAGGACAGGCAAGATAATTAATAAAAAACGAGAATTGATTTTTATTTTTTCATTCAAAATATGTGAACTATTAAATCTGCTCTACAACAGAAGATATTGATACGTTAGTCGAATTGTATAGTTAGATCGAAGTTTCTATAAATAAACATACATAAATTGAATAAATTTACGAAAAGTAGCCGCCATATTGGATCCGCCATTTTCAATTTCAAGAATTCGACTACAATTCGTAAACAACGGCCCCGAAAATCCCTAAATTTTCTGTTATCGACAAAGAAGACGATTTAAGGGTTGAAACTTCCCCTGTTGTTGCGATTCTGATGATTTTGCAAATTTTTTTGGTCGCCATATTGGATCCGCCATTTTAAATTTTTTAAATCTATTAATCTAACCTCAAATTCATAATCATCGACATCAAAAACCCCCGATTAATAAGTATAAAAATTTAACAGGAATTCAATTACTTACCAATTTCTTTGATAAATTTCTTCGCATCAATTCAATTATTATAAATTTTTTAATCAAGTTTCTCGAAAGAATTCAAATATATAAAGAAAATTAAAAAAAAATAATCTGAGAAATTCAATTATTTCAAAAAATTTAAATAAAATTCTCTTAATAATTCTATTATTTAAAAAAAATGTTGACAAAATTTTTTGCAAGATTTAGTTCATTAAATTGCAATTTTAATAAAATTTTCCTATACAATTCAATTGTTTTCAATACATTTCTTCTTAAGAATACAATTATTTTTACAAATAATACATTTTTTTATGGGAATTCAATTATTTAAAAGAATTTGAATAAAATTCTTTGCTAGAAATAAATTATTTTCTTTCTTGAGAATTTAATTATTTTTTAAAAATTTTTATAAGATGTTTTATAAATTTGAAAAATTATAATAAAATCGGTCATAGAATACAATTATTTTCGTAAAATACAACATATTTTCTAGAAATAAAATTATTGTCAAAAATGTTTGTAAAACTTTTTGAAACAATTCAATTATTTTCGTAAAAAAAAATTCTTCTAAGCAATTATCAATTATTTAATAAATTTTAATAAAATTCTTCCCAAGAATTCAATGTTTTAAAAAAAAACATTTTTACAGAAATTCAATTATCTAAAAATCTTTTTTAAAATTTTTTATCAGATTTCAATTATTTTCAATTTTTTAAATGAAATTTCTACATGGAATTTAATTATTTTCACAAATAATACATTTTTATGGGAATTCAATTATTTAAAAGAATTTGAATACCTAAAGTTCTTCGATAGAAATAAATTATTTTCTTTCTTAAGAATTCAATTATTTAAAAGAATTTGAATACCTAAAGTTCTTCGATAGAAATAAATTATTTTCTTTCTTAAGAATTCAATTATTAAAAAAAAATTTTTTTTAATGCTTTATAAATTTGAAAAATTATAATAAAATCGGTCATAAAATACAATTATCTTCATAAAATACAACAATTTTATTTTATTATTTTCGTAAAAAATAAAATTTTGCGAAGCAATTCAATTATTTAAGAAATTATAATAAAATTCTTCCTAAGAATTCAATTTTTCTTTTTAAAATAAACATTTTTACAGGAATTCAATTATTTAAAATAAATTTTTTTTTAATTCTTTGTCAGATTTCAATTATTTTCAATTTTTTTAAATGAAATTTAATTATTTTCATAAATAATACATTTTCTATGGGAATTCAATTATTTAAAAGAATTTGAATAAAGTTCTTCGCTAGAAATAAATTTTTTTTTTCTTGAGAAATCAATTATTTTTAAAAATTTTTATAAAATGTTTTATAAATTTGAAAAATTATAATAAAATCGGTCATAGAATACAATTATCTTCGTAAAATACAACAATTTTTCTAGAAATACAATTATTGTCAAAAATTTTTATAAAACTCTTCGAAACAATTCAATTATTTTCGTAAAAAATAAAATTCTTCTAAGCAATTATCAATTATTTAAGAAATTTTAATAAAATTCTTCCCAAGAATTCAATGTTTTTTAAGAAATAAACATTTTTACAAAAATTCAATTATCTAAAAATTTTTTTTTAAATTCTTTATCAGATTTCAATTATTTTTAATTTTTTAAATGAAATTTCTACATGGAATTTAATTATTTTTAAAAAGTTTTTAAAAATTCTGAAAAATTCAATTATTAAAAAAAAATTTGAATAAAATAGAAAATTGCATTTAATCTTACAATCTTTTTTAATACGCCGAAAGAATTCAATTATCATTAAAAATTTTGATAAAATTCTTCATAAAAATTCAATTTTAAATAATATCCAATATTACTGAATAAATTATTTATTTTTGTATTTAAATAATTGAATTCTCGGGAAATTTTCTAATAAAAATTGATTAAAAAAATTAATTTCACTTCAAATTTTAAATTATAATTGAATGTTAAAAACATTGTAGCGTGAATTTTTAGAAATAATTGAATTTTGAAAAGGGTTCTTCAGGGACGAAAGAATAAAATAAATGTTTCCAAATAATTCTATTATATTAACTAGTACATTTAACTTCAAATATAATACTAATAATCAATTTTAATGAAACATTAGAGGCAGAAAGGATTTAATAATCTAGAGGTTTATGTATTATTTATATAATGTATATAATTTACAAAATATTACATCATATTATCAAAATTTTAACGTTCCTTGTTAAACATTGTAATTAATATAATTAATTATATGTACACAAAATTCATTTACATTATAATATGAAAACTTTGATTGTCACAAGGTAAATACATATATGCATATTTTATTTTGCATTATCTGCAATTCCATTAAAATCATTTCATTAATTTGTAATACAGAGACAGATTATAAATAACGAGTTGAATTAAACTTTTCATTGACCCTTATAATTTTGATTTAATTTCTCGTTGAGCGTATTTGATAAGAATTTTACAAAGTTCAATATTTATGTATCGAATTTGGATTTTCGATTATTGTTATATTATGAATTTAATTCATAGAAACTAATTGAATCAGTATGATGAGATAAGTATTTATATCATTATTTCATTGAAATATTTAATTCAACTGGTTCTAAAATTTTTAGATATTAAAAATGATTTTTCTTTGGCCTCATAGAGTTACTAAATTAACTGCAGATAAAAATGACTCGATACAATAGGATATATTTTTTCTATCAATAAACAACAGTAATAATAAAATCATTTAAAAGATTTTAAACGCAAATATCACAAATTGTACGTGGAAATTCTTTTGTACAATTTTTCCAAGACTTTTTCCGTCTCGAGGGACACAAACTCGTTATGCAAGTATTTTCAAATACTTTTATTTCTCTTTCACTATAAAGTCCTTTTTTTTTCTTTTTATCCAATACTTTATTTATGTACAAAGCGAATTATTTTATTTTTCTCTTCAATTGAATTTTATATTTTTTTCAAATTTTCTAAATTTGAGAGAATTTCTGTTAATGGAAAATTGGATTTACATTTCAGATAGCAATTACTTAATCCGTGAATAGCATACATTTATGTCTGCGAATAAAAACTCCATGCAGAATTATATACAAGTGTATACGATAATTGCAGAAAAGGATTATCTTTAGAAACATGTATGAATACATTTCAAAATTAGTCTTTTGCAAAATTTTCATAATCATAGTTGAATTATCTTTCGAATCGACAAGAATGTATTAAAAAATTTCCCAATAATCGGAATAAAAAAATTGAATTCTAAATTAAAATGTTTGAAAATGTTTGAAAATGTTTGAAAAAGTTTTGATACATATAAAGTTTACTATTCAGGATTTAGTGAACTCAATTAAAAGCATTATTCATTATAGGATAGTTTTCTCTCTGGCAAGATTATCCTCAAGCATTTAATCCCCTCGGAATAAAAATCCTCTTTGTAAAAATTCATTTTTGAAAAAAGTTCCCTCGTTAAAAAAAAATCCAAAAGGATTTTGCATTTTAGAGAAAATAATAAAGTAAAAGAAGGAATATTTTTGTATATTTAGAGGTAAGACTTTTTTGCTGAGAAAAAATTGCATTTAGTCTAAACGAGATATATGTTTCACTTTTAATAAGTATATCTTTTTCTTAATTAAAAGCCAGTCATGTGATTCTGATTTCCTCAGAAGCATCTTTTTTTTTTTGCAGTCACCTCTATTCTTGGCAAGAATTACTTTTCAAGTTGACTTTTTTTTTGTCTAATTTTCCATTGCGGTGATCTTTTCTTCTTTAACCCCCAATTAGAAGCCAAGGAAGAACGACAGTAACACAAAGTGCTGCTAAACAACTTGCACACATTGCAAGAGGACTAGCTGCTACTTCCGGTTCTACATCAAAATAATCTTCGTCTCTCTCGAATTCTCGAACTTCGACATCGCACCGGAAACAAACCCTCGCTGTTCTCAGATAAGAACTGTCTCTACGCAATAGAAGTGCAGATCCTTTTCGTTCCAGTTTCCAACCAGGTTCCTGAAGAAGCTCCATTGTCAATTATTCTCCAAAATTTCACCTTTTTAAATGATAGCAATTTAATTGAAGAGGTATTGTCTGAAATTAAAAACAGATTGTAAGTTTCAGATGGAATGATTTATAGAATGATTATGTAATTTTGTCTTCATATCCGTTTCTTTTCTCAACGGATTATTCTTACAAAAAAAAAAAGAAGAATGGCATAATGTCAAACAAACATTTTTAATCATCTCATAATTAAGTTGATTATTTTATCGTCAATGAATTAAAGTTTTTTAGTTTTTCAAATATGTAAAGCAATCGAAAGGTTTTTCTAAAGACCGAGAAAAAAAAATATTTTCCAAACTTTTTCTTACAATAAATTCTATTTCGATTGGCTTCCTGTAAACCAGCTGACGATGCTCTTACTCCATTTCCGTCGTTACAAAACAAGGATTAATCTGGGAAAACTTTTCTCGTTTCAGACTTACTTCCACACAGAATCTGAAACGTTAATTCACGTTTAGACTGCTATATATACCAAACTTATATATCCACAATCGAATCTATTCAACACAAATGGTCTTTCTATATCAAAACAACAAAATCAAACTATAAATCCAAAAATTGCGAGTAAAAAATAATTCCAAGTAATAAGAAAATTTGGGCAAAGAAGAAAAATTCAACAGAATAAGAATTATTTCCATAACAATAATATTGAAATTATGGAAAAATCATTTCATAATTCGAGAAAATTCGTAATTCTAATAAAGTTCTAATTTATAGAGAGATTAATATATGCCAGGACATTCTAAGAAAATTATAATCGAAGACTTGCAATCAGTCATGAAATAGCGAATGCAAACGGAAATCGAGTAAAGACAAAGCTTCCATTATTATCCATAGCCAAATGTCAATAATGGAATTCGCCAATATATTCCAATTGTGTGGAAATTAATTTCGGTTCTATCATATTCATCTGATTTGAAAAATATTTTACGTTGGAGTGTACTATATTTATAAATAAATAAACATTTACGTTTAGATTAAAATAAAATTGTATCTTTTTCTTTTAATGAACACAGAGTTGCGACTATTACTATTTATTGAAAACATATCTAGAGGCTGGACCATCATCTAAATCACCATAAGATAAAAAAAACATTATAAATAACAAGTTCTTTTAATCCTTTGAGTCACGCAGTTTTCTTTTTACTGAATTCGCTTGAAAATCGTTACTCGGAGGTTTTTTGAGGTCTGAATACGAATTTGGAATCAGTTTCTAAAAAATCAAAATGGCGGATCCAATATGGCGGATATGAAAATTTAAAATCGATTGACTTTGCTTGAAATTAACGAATTTCAAGCAACTCAGTGCTCGAACCAGTAATAGTATTTAAAAGTATGGACTTTAAGGACCAAAAATATAAAAAAAAAATAAAAATATACAACTTTAAGGATCATAGGACAAAAATATAACCAGTCCGAGTCAAATAAGAGAACATTTTATTTAAAATTATAAATTAAATTTATTCATAACTGTAAAACATGAAGATATCAATAACTCCGAGTCTTCGAGTCGGAGTGATCGATATCTTCATGTTTAACAATAACTAAAGATGGCCCAGTGATAAAATCATTATTTTATATTATAAGAATAATGCTTCATCAAAATTATTTTCATCATTTCAATTCTATTATTATTTTCAAAGATTTTTCACTAAAATTCTACTTTAGATCAATTATTTTTAATAATTTTCGAAAAAGTTCTTTGGCAATTTTCAAATCCATATATTTACAATATTCAATTTCACGAAATTTCAATTATTCCTAAATTCTTCAATTAAATGCTTAGTAGAAAATAAAAACTTTAAATAATATAAAAAAAATCAATTAAACTTTTTCCAAAAAATTAATTTCAAAACACAATTTATTTCTAAAAATTTACGCTATATTGCTTTTAATAATTATAATTTTTACAATTATAATCTAAAATTTTAACTAGAATCTAATTTAAATTAATTTTCATTAGAAAATTCTACGAGAATTCTAATATTTAAATATAAAAGTAAATAATTTATTGAATAATTGAATGTTTCTCAAAATTTAATTCTTATAAATAATTTTATCAACAAATTTTCAAATAATTGAATTCTATCAACAAATTTTAATAAAATTATTAAGAATAATTACATTTTTCGAGAAATTCGATTAAAATTGTATTAAAAATAATTTAAATTTTGCAATGAGTTTTATTATTTATAAAAATAATTGAATTTCTAAGAAAAATTTTATTACTTTTAAACAATATTTAATTTTTGTGAAGAATATTATTACTCTTGAAAATAATTGAATTTTTTGCAATAATTTGTAACTTTTCGAAAATTAATTTTTTTTCGTGTTATTAACTAAAATTCTTCTATAAATTCATTATTTTTAATAATTTTTGAAAAAATTCATTAAAAATTTGCAAATTCATTTGTTTACAATTCAATTTTACAAAATTTCAATTATTTGTAAATTCTTCAATTAAATATACATTATATAATAAAAACTTTAAATAATTTCAAAAAAATCCTCAATTAAAGTTTCTCAAAAAAAAATTAATTGCACATAATTGTTAATTAAAAATACGAAAAATTCAAATTTTCAAAAATTTTAATCAGAAACCTTTTCAAAATTCAATTATTTCTAAAAATGTAAGGTCTAATGCTTTTAATATTCAATTATATTCTAAAATTTTAACTCAAATCTATTATTAAATTAATTTTTTTTAGAAAATACTACTAGCATTCAATTATTTAAACACAAAAAAAACAATTTATTGAATTATTGCATGTTTCTTAAAATTGAATTCTCATATAGAATTTTATCAATAAATTTTTAAATAATTGAATTCTTTTGAGGAATTTTAATAAAAATTTTAAGAGTTATTATTTAAATTAATTATTAATAAATAATAATTAATAATAATAAATAAGTAATTTATTAATTTAATATTTCTTAAAATTAAATTCCAATAAAAAATTTTATCAACAAATTTTTTATACACTTAAATTCTTTAGACGAATTTTAATGAAATGTTTATTATTTATGCGAAAATAACTGAATTTTAGCGTAGAATTTATTTCAAATTTTTTTTAATAATGAAATTCTTTTGGAAAATTTTATTAAAATTCTAGATATTGAAAAGCATTGAATTTGGAAAAACTTTTGAAAGTAATTGAAATCTTGCCAAGAATTTGATTAAAATATTGGAAAATAACTTTAATAATTTCAGAGAAGAATTTTATTATTTATGAAAATAATTGAAATTTAATACTTTTGAAAATAATTGAATTTTTCTGCAATCATTTGTAATTTCTCAAAAATTCTTCAAATTATACAATTTACGAAATTTTCGTTCTATTTCAATCAAATTACAGACTTTAGGGAAAATTTTTCAAAAAAACTGACTTTTACGAACTTGAAGCAAATTTATACGAATCTGTGGTCAGTTTTTAAAAATTCAAAATGGCGGATCCAATATGGCGGACATAGAAAAACGACTGAATTCGGCTGAAATTCGTTACTCGGGGGTTTTTAGAGTTGCTAAATACGAATCTGTACTTAATTTTAAGAAATTCAAAATGGCGGATCAAATATGGTGGTCTTAAAAATTAAAAATCGACTAATATAAATATTTAAGAAACAAAATGTTCTTAATTAAGTTGGTAATCTTGAATTTATTTACTGCCCTCATCCCTATTTCAAAGGGACAAAATTAAATCAAGAATTAGATTAGAAAATATTATTCGTTCTAAAATAGGGACAAATACATTAATTTAATATATTCGTAAAAATTCCAGTTTTAAGATCTAAAAAATATTAAAATTTTTATCAAAAGCAATTCAAAAGAACATTCAGAACATTTTTAAGATACAGTCCAATGTTTTTGATAAAGATGTTTTCGTCCTGGGAAAAAGTAAAGAAAAGCAGAAATAAACGAAATACTAGCAGATGATGATAAAACTTTACAAGAAGTTAGGAAAAGAATGATTTATTCTCTTCCTTTATCATCCATGTTTTTCAACCTCTCAAAAAATAACTTTCAATCAAAGAAAAAAAAAAATTCGTAAATTACTTTCGTCATCAACCATATAATTTCTTTTCTTTAAAAATAACTTTCTTTATATTTTCCACATCGAAAATAGATGCAACTAATTTGTATTCAATAAATAATTCTTTCCATCACGCGACACTCGTCAAAAAAAAGTTGAAGTTCTCAAGAGAAATATATAAATATGAACGTGTTTTGATATCGAAATATATATTTCTAAAAGTAGAAAATCATATTCCTTATTCTGGGATCAGATAAATCTCTCGAACTGTTCTAGAAAATAAGACTGTGACAGACAAATGAGATAAAGAAATAAGAAGTGCAGCAGTTTGAGGGAATGGAGAAAAATAAGTAAAGGATCTGAAAGAAAAAGTTGACTCCTTTTTTTTGCCATTTACCAAATTGGAACATTCTCTCTTATTTTTCTTTTTACGAGTATCGTATACGAGTCGCACGTTTTTCAACTCGAACGGGGGTTAGAAAATTATTTTCTCCACTATCAAGTTTATTTTCCCAGACAACTAATTGCATAAAAGATAATTTCTTTTAACACACAATTTATTGTAATAAAATTTTTCTCTCTGGAATATTTAATAAAATTTTTTGTATACTTTAGGAGTTTCAAGAAATCGATTTTATTTTATATATATGTGGTAAATCTGAAATATTCTGTTTTATCTGTAATCCTTTAAAAATTAAATTCACAAAAATAGAATTCAAAATGTAAAGTTTATATTTTAGTTATAAAATTTAAGGAAAAGTTGTTTTCACGTTTAATTGAAATTTGAAAACTAATTAACTATTACAAGAGTAATAAATGAAAATTGTAGGTTCTAAAGTGCTGCATAACTTTGAGAACTCTTGTTACCAGGGTTGCTATTAAGAAAGGTTCAGTAAACATGAAACATCCATTACCTAAAGCTCAACTATGTTTCCAAGGTTGGGGCTTTTCAAGTACAACAGCTTCTTTAAGACGCTAAAAGTCAGTTAACATGTAAAC